AAAGTTTAGCTTCACCGAGGAAACTATTCAAATTGTAGTAACTACAAAAAATTGTAGTTTGTTTTTTTTAAATCCTCATACCTCACTCATATCAAGCATTACGATGGGTGCAACGTAAGCAATGAGAATGCTTCTCAGAAAAACGCTGTTCCAAAGACATTATTTATGAATCTATGTATGGAATAATTAATGATCTTCGCTAGGAGTCTATGATGGTGGATTCGCACGATGTTTCTGATTATTTATGACCCGCGGCATATTGAAATCTGTTCCAAGATAGGGATTGTAAATTTACCGACTTTTTCATTTACCGGTAATTCGGTAAATTAAAATTAAAATACCGGTTTACCGGTAAATTTTTTCTTGAAAAATAAAATTAAGGTGATAAAAAATATAAATCATTATGATTTCCACTTCACATTTTTTATTTCAAAGATACCAAATATAAAAAATATAAAAATTAAAGTGTTATTCTAAACAAACTATAATAATAAATATAGAAATAAACAGAAATAAAATAATACAGAAAAATAAAAATACAACAGAAATAATATATACAGTAGAACCTCGAAAACTCGGCCTAATGTGGACCGAAGGGTGGCCGAGTTTGTGAAAATGCCGGGTTATCGGGAATGGGGTTAAAAAAGGATAAGTATGCGTGTTTCCTCATAAAATATTGTACTGTACTTGTATGTATTGTTTGCTTGAGAATACAACAGAGAATAAACTGCCCAAATACCCTTAAACAAAGGAAAAGTACGTCCTTTATGAAGGCATAGAGCCTTTACTACATGAAAATGAAAATTAATGAATACACTGTGTACAGTAATTTACCTGATAAGACAGACCTCAGAAAAATACTTTATGAGAGCTTTTATACTTTTATAAAGCTGTCTATAATGAAAATTAATTAACTAAGGATTTTTTTGCCCTGCCAGGGTGTGGCCGAGTTATCCGGGATGCCGGGTTATCGAGAGCCGAGTTTTCGAGGTTCTACTGTAGTACCTAATACCATTTTATTGATTACCATTTTTTAAAATTAACTTCTGAAGAAACTTAAATTATTTATAGTCTTATCTCCTAATTTTGATTTACCGTATTTTGACGAGTATAAGTCGCTGTCAAGTATAAGACGCACCCCTATTTTGAGACAAAAAATTTAGAAAACAACTGTTTTAATGGGATTGTCTAAAGATGCATTTTATTCGTTTTTTTTATTCAAGGATACGGCGGATGGGTGAATCGATACCTTTATTAAACTGAAATAATCGTCATTTCTCAATGTAAACTCAAGATCACGTGATGACAGTCGACAGAACATGGCGGCGATGACTCGTGTGTCACTACTCTGATAATCTAGATACTCTAGCCATTCGGTTGAGGGACCATCCGCTTAACGGACCACTGCACAGGTTGGTCCACTCTAGGGACCAACCTGTGCAGTGGTCCGTTAAGCGGATGGTAATTGGTACTATTGTAGGTAATTTCACTGTAGAAATGGTTACCTGTCGAGTATAAGACGCACCATAATTTTGAGCCCCGAAAAGTAGTAAAAAAGTGCGACTTATACTCGTCAAAATACGGTAATTTTTGTACAAAATAATCCAGATCCCGAGAATACCCTTTCTGATTCAACACTTGTTGGACGAATGGTCATTAAATTAAAATTAAACAAAAAATACCACACATAAAATTAATAATGAGGTATATTGTTGCTTACACTTACCTGTTTTTTTTTTTCAATGTCCCTTTAGCCCTTTTAAATATTTATAAACACAATATTTTCTACATAAAAATTTCTAGTATGGATTTTTCATTTACCTAATTACCGGTAAATTTCAAAAATTTTCCGGTAAGTTTACCGAATGTTTTTTGTCAATTTATCGGTTAACCGGTATACAATCCCTATTCCAAGATGCTCGGTGATTGTTTCAGCCCTCTTCTATAACACTTTGGCTTTCAACAACCGCATTTCCACGGAGTTTTCTGATGATGTCTGTGATTTGCACATTGAAGTAAGTCCACACTTTTTGACTGGAGTATTTACCACCGGTTGCTGGAACGCTGAATATTTTGCTGAGACAAAACTAACAATGAATTCTGATTTTGTAGCAGCGAAAAGCAGCTTTTCTCGATGCATTGTTACCGTCTATTGATAGTTTTTCAAACGCCATAACAATTTGCACATAATGTTCCTTGAATGTGGCGATACTTTTATATTTTTGAGTCCAACGGGTTTCACAGAGCATTTGTATATTCGGTATGCATTTTCGACGAAGGGCCGATTCTCGGAAGAATCTTATTTCTTTTATTGTGGAGACAGTATTTCGTATCATTGCTATTTCCTTTAAGTCGTTTACAACTAAGTTCAGTGAAAATATAACGCTATCGTATACTTTTCTCAAAGAATTTTCTGGACACCACCATCATTTCCTGCCATAGTGGAACACTCATCGTATCCTTGTTCGACGCACTTTTCTGGATCAAGGCCTACCTTTTTTACAAAGTTGTTAATTGCAGAAGCTATAGATTTTGCATCCATGTCAGTCAACTCTACAAAACCTAAAAATTTCTCACGAACCATCATCTTTTCTTTGTCAAAACACGGAAAGTTGCTCTTTCCCGGATATTTTCCTTTGTTAAAAAACGGAAAGTTGCTCTTTTCCACTGCTCTCGTCTGCGAAGATACTGTAAGCACAATCTTTCTTTAAGTCAGTAGTGATATCGTCTCTAATGACTTCGCCACATAGGCCGATTATTTCATTTTGAGTCTGTGTGACATGTAAGTGGCCTCTTTTGCGCCCTTTTCTATGTGCTCGTTTAAAATGTGGTCACCAACGTCAATTTTGGGTTTAATCAAGTCTTCAAAAACACATTCATAATGTTCTTTTCTCCCTCATGTGTACCACAAAACATTCCAGTCGAAATTATTGATTGAACAATTTTCTTGTTGGTGGACAGAAATCAACTGTACAGGTACTATACATCAACGGGTATATTTTCAAATCGGCGGCAACAGCAGCAAAACGTTTAGTTGCTGCTGTTGCCGCCGATTTGTACCACTGAGATGACGTGCGAGATTTCGCGAATTCGTGCATATCTTTACACCCTTTGCTGCGCAATACTATTATAACCTACTGACCTATAATTTTTCGTTTGACTAAATGAGCCAGGTGGTAAGCGCCCCTGCTCCAACACGATTTTCACTGTCCCTCTACAAGAAGCATAGTGAAAAAATTGAAGACCTAAAGAAAATTGCCTGTTACACCCATCTCCTATTTCCATTTCAGTAATCATCGCACGTGTAGACACACTAACTTGTGTAATAACTACAGCATATTTAAGGGTTGCAAATTAAATGCTCTGAGATATTTGGAAGAAAATGTTAGCATTTCTGCTTTGCCTAAACTTCTCCTACATAAATGTCGTAGTAGTTTCCAATAACGTGATTCAGCTAAATCTGTATTAAACAGTTGATTTTAAATGTGTTAAATGGAATTTGTACTCGTCACATCCTGTCAAGTAACCACGTAACTTTTTTTGTTCGAATCCACAGACTAGATAGGCCTGTCTTATCTAAGTTATGGATAAATGCACTGTAAACGTTCGTTATTTCTTCAATTTATTGATTCGCTTGACGAAAGGTTGTTGATCCAAATCAGGAATAGAACAAAAGTTGATTTTACTATTTCACAATCATTATCTGGACGCATCAGAAATATGCCTCAAAGATGATTCCCCAAATATCCAAAAAAATAATTTTTATTTCAGAAAACAAGTTTTTATATATGTTTATTATCCATGAAAATTGACCATTGTTGTTAAATGGCTATATGTTGCTAATTTAACAACTTCTCAACAAGGAATTGTGCAAATACAAGATCTAACATTTAAGTTAGTATTAATAATTATTATTATTATTTACTTTTAAGTTGGTATTAATTGAAAATATTAAATTAATTTTGAAAAATAGTCAGATAACCATGTAGGAATTTAAAAAAATATACACTTTAAATCAAAACACAATAATAAAATCAATATCTAAAATATTTTGAAATGATTAAAATTTGAATTGTAATACTTTAAAATAATCAAAAAGTGATGCAAAAAACAAATATAAATTTAATTAGGTGGATGTTTAATCTTTATAACTGAATTACATGCTCTTGTTTATGTAGTTTTGCAAAGAAGACAGAAGTCATATTTTCAACTGTTTTCAAAATAACTTTATAGAAATTCAAATACTGAAATAATGATATTTTAACACAAATTAACAATACTGATGTCCTCAATAAAATGTTTAATTTTTATAAAGGAATGCAAACAAATAATTGTTATTTGTTTATAAAAAGTAAACTGTACTACTATGAAAGTTCATCTGCATAACTCCTACTCAATTTCAATACCAGGAATTTAGTACACAATTAGAAGTATGATTCATACATTAGAATTCCTCTGAAGGTTTTGAGGTCTAAAAGGTTAAGGACTTCTGTATATTATAAGCCAACTGTAAGTAAAATTACTACTTATACAATACAAATAAATATATGTAAATACTATATACAGACTAAATCTTCAGTTTTTTAGATCTGAAATATCTAAAAGTTTTGTATTTGAAAAAACTAAGTTTAAAATGAATTTTTTTTACATTGAAAATGATTCCTAACTTAACTTATTTCAAAATAATTTATAATTTATTTCAAACAAGTCCTAAATTATTTTCTAATTGTAATAATTTTTCAGCTATAAATTCAGTATTATTGAAGTTTATTTTTGATCTGAAATTCTAAATAATTTAATAAGGTTATTTAGATTTGATAATATTTATCTTTTATGCCAGTTACAATGAATTTCTAAAAATTTATCTACTTTTAAGCATATATTTTTTTTACAATTTAGAAAACACAATGATCATGATTTCAAAATTAATATAATGACCAATGTTATTTTTGAAATGTCTAATTTTGTTTTCACTATTTATAATAGTAATACAAATACTTTCATATATAATCAATATAATAATTCTTTTTATCAGATATAAGTTTTACATGTTAATAATTTACTGATATTTTATAACATAATTTAACTCCAAAATTTTACCATATTAAAAATAAAATTTAACAATGCTATCCTGAGATGTTAAATTATCTGATTAAAGACTAGATTTAAATATTGACATTCTTTTAGTGTGTTATCTACCTCAATTTTTTATCTGTAAATTGACATGCATTCATGCTTTCTTTTGACAATATTTCAGAATGATTCATATGGACTCAGTTAACTACATAAAATACATTAACTACTACTGATGAGTGAAAAAATTCAAAGCAGAGCAAAATAAAATCAGAATCTCATTTTTTACTGTTTAAATCATTTTTGTTAGTCATATGAAATAAATTGGCATGTTTATCAATAACCATACCACCATCACTACATAGTAATTATGTATCTCATACCAGTATTGGTAAATATCACATTAAAAGATTAATATTTAGTCAATAGTTTGTTGATGACAAAATACTTTTACATAACTGCCTATTCTACCATGTGGAAACTTTGTATGGAATGTTTTAAAGCATTGATCATAATTATGATAATGAAGAAATTCAGAAATATGATAAAATAGTACATCAAATATTACTATATGACTGGGTAAGATTATTTTGTTATTTTCAACATCAATACCAGATCCAAATTTTTCTGCTAACCAAAATGTTGGATTCCCATAGAATACATCAGCTTCATCTAAATAATCTACTTGATTAAGAAAATCTGGTTCACATGTCAAAAATTTCATTGTGATATTTTGATGTATATGACTATAGAATGGTGTTGAGTGACATGGCATTAGAAATAAAACGTTCATTTTCTTGTTTTGAACAGCTAATTTTGACAGATAATCCATGACATCTAAAGTTCCTCTTTGATGATAAAATGATGTATAAACTAGAAGTGAAAAATTTCCAATTAAAATTACAATAGCCATTGCTATAGATCTATAAGATATATGAAGATAACGATGCTTTCGACCATTTTGTGCTAATATATCTAAACCAATACCACTAACGTGTAAAGAAAGTGGCAAAACTGGCAATAAAAATCGGAATTCTTTATGACTTACAAAACTGAGTACAGTTAACAACCATAATATTAGCTTCAAATAATGAAATGTTTGATGAAACTGAAATGCCAATAAAAATGGAAGCAATTGAAACGCCATAACTGCTGGAAATCCTTGCGTAAAATACCAATGCCACGAATTAGATCCGTAATACGTTCCGATGTTATGTATCCAATTGAAATACATAAACTGATACGGTGTGAAAATGAACCTTCCAAAGCAAAACCAATCAAAAATTATCATAGCAACTACACAGCAAGCACATACAATAATTGTTTTGAGCAATAAATACATTATTTGTCGTCTTTCTTGCACACAATGCCAAATATATAAAGGCAACCATAATATAACCGCAGTAGGTCTAATCATACACGACAATCCCGCAAACCACAAATATTTCCATTTGACGACCGAAGAATTAAACCACGGAAAAAGATAAAATCCATACGAAACAATAGCCATTTCAGCCGTATTAGATAGGGTTCGAGATGCACAGTAAAATAAAAACCACGACGTAAGTAGACTGAAAAGTGTCCATCTAGCAGTTCTGTAACCATGGTGCAAAATCGATAATTTATAAATATAATAATTTCCAGTTCCAGTTAATAATGCTTGTAGCAGTCTCGGCGAAAGAATCAAGCACTTTAAATTATCTAAATTAACTACATTTAATATTTTATAAATAAAAGCAATTGCCAGTGGGTATGTACAACTTCGAATGCCTTCTTTCCATTCCCAAGTTAAGTATCCGTAACCAAATACATAACGGTGAGCGACTTCGAGAGATTGCCAATACTCATCAGGAACGTAGAACGTCTGAACGAGAAAACTACTTATAATACTATGAAAGATAAGAATAATGAATATCAATCCACTATTTTCATGTGCCTTCTTCTTCATATTCGGACATCAAACTTTCGCAAGTAGATGCAGCGACCTCTACATTTATCGAATGTTCTATTAAAAAAAATTAAATTATTTAATATCATTTTATAATAATTAACATTTAAAATTAACTTTTAAATGTTTAAAATAGTTATTTTAAAATAGTTAAATTTATCGGTTGTCATTTTTAATTCTCAACGATAGACGAATTTGAGAGGGCGCCTTTTGTGTCGTCGTTCGAGATGCCGTTTGTTGTCTTTTTATTAAGATTTGATTATGGAAAAAGTCGTGCATGTTTAAAGAAGCTAATATGAAGGGAATATTTATATTTATATCGTTAATAAGTGGTAAAATTGAGTAGGAAAGCAAAGAGAGTAAGATTACGTCGTCCAATCGTTTAAAAATAAAATAAAATTTAATGTAATCCTCCACTCTTGTATTTGTTTTATTTGCCCAGAATTACCTGCAATGCAATAGCCGAATAAATGTAAGTCAGATTTATAGATTCGTTTTAATGATAAAACGTTTAATGTTTATTAACCGTGTTAACATCTGATAATTTGCTATGTTGACAATAGGTTAACATTTAAGACGAACTTTGTATACATTTTATCACGATAACATTAAAGTTGATAAATATACTTCGTAGAAGAGCAAATCATCTCAATTGTAATCAATGGCTTAAGTATTTTAAACTAATTAATTAATACGTATTAATTTTTAGTTTTTTTTTAAATTTTATTTAATTTATGAAAAACTTTTATTATTTTTATGTTGCAATTACTATTGTTTATTACATTTAATTTATTTTTACGGCTTGAAATTCAACACGTGAACTACTATTTGTGATACTTTTACGGTAAAATTATTAAACTATTATCAATCAAAATTGAATAAGATCATATTTATTTGGTAACACTATCCACTAGTTGCAGAGTTAATGTGCAATGTTAGACAGAGATTAAACAAAAAAAGTTCTGGAAAAGTAGCCTTTATGATGTAATGCTGCTACTGTTTTATATCGAATTGAATAAAGTATGATTGAACCTCCAAAATTATTTTTACAATATAAAAGCAAACGTAACTGAGTAATTTTGATAATGAAAATTGTAATAGTAATATTATGTTAATAATAATTTTATTTTGTTATATAGTCAGTTACTTTTCCTTTATGAATAACATTTAACATTATTTTATAGAAGTAGTATATTTGTATTTGGAAAAAACCAATCATGTAGTGTCCACAAATCACATAGCCCAGTTGAAGTGGGATAGGAGATAAGTCAGTGGCCATCATGGACAGTTACAATAAGCTAGGGTCTGATTTAGTCACTTTGCTTAACCTCTTGTTAAAAAACTTGGTTAGAGTTCCAATATAGCCTATTATTTGTTGAAAGTGTTATAAAATTGTAGCTCTGAATAAGGCAGTTGGGATCTTATAAGTCATGCCCTTAGGAGTAAAAAATATCAAAGGAACTGATTGTCTATATGTGACCTTTTGTGAGATATAGCTCACCCAAAATTGGCTGCATTTAAACATACAATAAACTTAATAGTGTGTACAGTGTGATTCCAATTGCACTCTGGAAGAAGTCCAGTGCAATGGCATTTCTTTAGTAAAGTGGAAAACAATTGGCTTTTAGCATTATTTTGAGAAATAATTTTGAATATTTTCACTTTTAAATTTTACCCATTTTTAGGGTTTTCAATATTCTAGATAGGCAGATTTCAGGAGGCAATGTCTTTGTAGATCATTGGTTCCTTTGTCTTTTTTATTCCTATGGACATGATATACAGTTCTGATAAGGTCCAACTACCTCATTCAAAGCTGCAGTTTTACTGTAAGGGTGTTATTTACATATCATCATCATGAGCATGGAGGATCAGTGTATCGGGAAAATTATTAGCAGAAGAAATATTGAACAGAAATAATGACCAATGTTATTTTTGAAATGTCTAATTTTGTTTTCACTATTTATAATAGTAATACAAATACTTTCATATATAATCAATATAATAATTCTTTTTATCAGATATAAGTTTTACATGTTAATAATTTACTGATATTTTATAACATAATTTAACTCCAAAATTTTACCATATTAAAAATAAAATTTAACAATGCTATCCTGAGATGTTAAATNTTTTATAAAAATTAATATAGAATGATATACAATATGGTTACAAAATAACAAAAATTCAATGGTTTTATGTAGTATAGTGTAAATAATTACAACAGTATAATGCAAATGTAAACCACCTGGTGTTTAAGTTTAAAAATAAAAGGTATTTAATGACCTGGCTGCTTTAGACTTCATGATTTTAGATGTAGGGATCACTTCTCTGGCCACAGTCACCAGGATGGAGGAGGAGTCAAAATTTGAAAAATATTGGGCTATGTGATTTGTGGACCTTCCCTATGGACATAAAATGTTGTGTATGTATTATCTGAGAAAACTATGAATTATGAGAATTTTTTGTCAAGTATAGTTTATTTATTTAGTAATATGCAGTATTTTATATAGCTTAATAATTTTAAAATAATTTTGTGTGTTGTAAAATTGCAAAACAGTAAAATAAACAAAATTAACAATAGGTGATTTATTAAATTTTTAAATGCTAAAATCTGGTTGTAAGAACTCTGTAATAAGAAAAGTACAAAATATATGTATAGTAAGAAATCCTCAAAGGTGAATTTCTTTTAAAAATTAATAAGTGGGCATATAAACTGGTTTGTTTTCTGCTGTTGTCTGACATTTACAGTTTTGGTTTTTGTATATTCCTAGTTATTATTAGCATTAAAGAGATTATGTAGTATGTTTTATTTTGTTGGAAAAAGTTTTTTGCTGGTGTTGCATTGTCTGAAATGTGAACATAAATATTCTATTCCAGGGATCCTAAAGTGGTAGATATTAATCCTCTTGATAAAGCATTTTTGGTATGGATTGAAAATTGATCATTAAAAAATTAGTCTAATGTATATGACATTCAGGATGATATAAATTTGCATACTGTAAGTAGATCTTTTCTATGAAAATGATACATGGATTAATACTGGCTTACCAGATTTGTTTTTCATCATTATTATGTTTAACTGAATTGTGATCATCTGAAGTATTAGTGCATATGAAGAAGCTTTACTTTCTGTTTGTTAGAAACTACAGTATATTACACTATATTTATTTTGAAGTTACTAATTGTTTCTTTTTTCTTTTGGAAAATTTTGTTAAAAATTTTCCAAAAGAATTTTTTTTTGTTAATTTGAAGTTTTATTGAGTCATCATAGATTCTATGCATTAGGATCCCTCCACCGACTGATTCAGATAACAACTGGCTTTGTTCATTGAAACATGACAATGTTTGCTGAGAGATTCTTCTTCCAAGATATTTGGACATCTAGACTTGAGGATTATTTTCAGAAACCTCATCAAGTTGCTAGAGACATCTGCATTAGATATTAGGTGATAAAGTGCTTTGAAAGTAAGTTTCAGTGAGTTTGTCGCATTTTTTAATTTTAGAACTAAAGTTCAATAATTTATCAACTGAATTTGACAGCATGAATCTACAGTAATGATACTAGAATCTAAGTTGGAGTACAATGAAGAAACAAATGAGAGAAATTAAGAATGAAATATTATTGAATGATTCTTTTAAATGAGACTGTATAGCAAATAAATTAAAACAGAGAAATATTATATCTTGTTTGAAAGTTGAGAATGCTAAGCTTTGTAAAGAAGTAACTAGATTCATAGAGAAATGTCTGAAATGAAAAAAGTTAAATTCTCAATATACTTTAAAGACTGTTATACCTTTGTTAGAACAGGATTAATATTAGTTGAATTGTCTTTTGTAACTTTGAAAAAATTTGTTTTCAAGCAGAGAGGAAAAAGTTGTATAATAACATGAGTGAAGTTAAAATATCTGACAGTCTGTGTCAATGATTAATGAAATTGATTGAAGAAAAAAAATTTATGCCATTTTTTTTTAGACAGGCAAAAGTGGAGAACAAATGGGCATCTTTTCAACAAGACATTTTGATTATGGATGGTGAGACATTTACGTATGATTTTGGTATTGAACAAATGCTAAATATAAAGGATTGTTTTAGAGTTATAGATAATAGAATGATTATACAGAAGACACATTCTATGTTTTTATTATCTTTGAATTGTGAAAAGAAACTTATATCTGAACTAGTAGACCCAAATACTGTCATAAGACTTAAATTCTATATGATTTTGACCTTCCAGGAGACATGAGAAATTTTTTCACACAGATGTATTCAGATTTTTTGTTAACTATGCAATATAAAAACAGTGTGCTATTAATGATTGTGGGCCTAATTTTATTAGTTAACAAGTTTTGGAATGAATCTCCTGTTTTTTTTATAAGTCAAATAAGTTCTTGAGAGTTAAAATTACTGTACAAAAAATTAAGATTGAACTGATAGTAATTAATTACTATTTACAAATTTCTTTGTTTGATTACTTTTGTTGGAATTAAAGGAAATACTTGATTTAATTGATCCATCGGTGAAGTTACTGATTTGTGACTCAACTTTGTAGATAGGAAATAAGATGGGATCCATATTTGTTGAATGATTCAATGTCCATAGAAATACGAGCATCAGAAGACAGTATTGTAAATTCAAGAGAGAAAAATTTTACAAGTAATAAAATGAAATGGTAGATGTCCTGCCAATAATCCAGCAAACTTTGCAAAATTTACTTTTATATCTCCACAGGGTAAATCTGTTTAGATTCTACTATTGCTAATGCCAAATTGTTATTGAGCTGCAATTTGAAAAAATTGTAGACTCATAAATTCCCACTGTTATCTGTATGTCTGTCCTTCCTTAATCTCAAGAACAGAATTAGATACATGAAAGTCAAGACGAGATATAGAAAGTTTAGTGGCAGAAGGCCCCAATTAACTATATATGAACTTCTGATGCAAACTGAAAGCCACATTATTTTAATTCAGATATCCCCTAAAAGGAGTTAATGACCAGCAGGACTCTGTTGCTAACAGGAAAAGTATAATACAC